TGGGAAAAAAAGCCAACAAAACAACCAAAAACCCCAAACATAATAAGAGAGGAAACACTGAATTTTTTGGGAAATGAAGAAAGCAGTTCAACTCGTAAGTGAGTTTGGAGTGATCTTTCTTTTATTGTGTAAATGAAACTGAATCCCTTTTGTTCCTTTTGTATTTCTTCTATACCAGAAGTGGCAGGAATTGAGAGAAAACTTAAAATGAAAAGAGTGGTGCAAGGCACAGTGCAAATGGGAGCCTGAATGAAATAAAAGCTATCAAAATACTTTGCCCAGACATAGTTCTCCTGTAGCCTGTTGAAAAACAAGCATCTGAAGGTTCAGGCTTTTCCCTGAACCTTCACCCCAAATACAAATGCAATGGCTCTGAGCATCTTGCCTAAGAAATGGATCTGAACATTTCTGTTTTTTATCCAGAATTATATTCTGCTGCCTAGTCCCTAAAAGCTAAACTTCTAGGATTTTTTGGTTTTCCATCTGTCAACATTAGTTACAAGTTTTTCCCAATACTCTTGTGTTTTGAAGTCCTGCCTTGGCATACTAGGAGGAGCTCAGAAATTGGCTTCTGCCCTGGCAAGAACAGACCATTTTGAAAGTTTGTGGGAGTAGCTTGTGCTTGTCTGTACTACCCACCTGGGTAAGGCTTTTGTAAATGGTGAGACTGGGTACTGCTCATTGGAACAGGTGGTTGCTTTGGCCAGTGTAGCATATAAGATATCCACCAAATGAGACTACCGACTCCTCTTTGTTATAAATATCTTACTGACCTGATAACACTGAAAAGAGCACATGTGGAAGAATACGGAAATATACTCTCCTGGTATAAACTGCAGCAAGAAGATTTAGGTTAGAAAAACCTTTTTAATGGGAAGGATAGTTAAGCACTGGAATAGACTGCCCATGGAGACTGTGGGTTCTCTGTCAGTGTAAGGACAGGTTAGACAGACATCTGCCACAAATGGTTGTCACAAGCCTTAACTTCCCTTGGGAGGGAAGAAAAAGCTTCTGTTTAGGATTAGTTTCAGGGAACAAATATGATACACCTTTCATTAAAGGTGCTCATTAACATACTGCAGAACACTTTTGTTCTGGCTGCTTTATACCGCTGTTAAGGCAATTTGCCAGCCTGCTGGAAGGCTTTCGGAAAGCTCTCCCTTATTTTCCCCTTGCATAAACAACCTTACATTTTGTCTGCATGGGATAGCTTAGGCAAACCAATAGCATATATCATCGACTTTTTGTTCTACAGTAGCTCTCTCATTCTTTCTTTCTTTGCAAATGTATTGGACTTCTACTTCCAACAGCTTGTTATGTAAAGTAGGATCATATATTTAAGGTAAAAGTGACCTGCTCCCCTCTCTCAACACCTCCAAATTCATCCCCAAACCAAAGTGTCTTTCCTTTCTTGATAAGATCAGATGTGGTACAGACAGAGCATTGTGAAGTTAAAAGTGAAATTATGGCTTTTAGGAGCCCTACCCTGGCATATAGGAACATACCTAGGGAACGAAGAATATGATTAAAAACGGGTTTTTAAAAATGCCTAGCATCCTTACTTTTGCTGATTCTGGGACCCTTCAGGGCTCCTAGTGGGAGTTTGGATGACTAGACTCTGATTGGAGAACGCCCAGTGGGTCTTGAAACTGCAGGATGACAAATATGTAGGATGCCTGGGATGGTTTATTTTTCCTCTTTTTGCTGAGGCAAGCTCAGAGCAAAACCTAAGTAATAACAGTTCTCAAGCTGTTAATACCAAATACTCTGAGACTTCACAAGTGCCTTGCTCTGCTCTGCACAGTTTGGCAGGTTATATTCTTTAAGAGTAGACATCATTACCTGGAAAAATCTGTGACATTTAATTCTGTTGTGGCTAACCTCTGTCCCCAGAGTGAATTGTTCCTTCCTTCTCATGGCAGATTCTTTAGCATATGATGCACATTTGTACTTTATTTCTCTTGTGTTGTCACCGTTCTCTACACATTATGTTTCTTACTATCCTTACGGTCCTTGCCCACATGTTCCTTAAGCTTCCTTTTCTTAAACTACATGCGTACACATTTGACCCTTGCCTCCGTGAACATGTAAAGAAGTCTGCCCGCTCTTAATTCAGAAAGCTTTTCTGACTTTGCTTATTCATATCTGTACATGTTTTCAGGCATGTGGCACACTTGATTGTTCAGGTTGGCAATAAAATACAATATTTGCATGTATTCTTGAGACACTCCATAGCTAATTTGAAAATGTAGGTCAGAACATTTCCTTATATCCTGGTTTTCTTCATTTTTGGACAATTTAGAATTATTTTATTGGGATAATAAGGAACGGACGTGTACTACTGTATTTGCACGTTAGATGCTTCAGCACGTAGGAGGCTGTGGCAAGATTGTCATTGTTATCCTAATTTCATAATGTTGTCCATGTAGTACAACACTGTGAATCGTGCCTGGCACACAGCCTTATGAACTCTGCTTTCTGTCCCAGAGAACTTCTGGGTAATTACGAGTTGAGTTTGCCTATCTGATCTAATTTATCACTTAGGGGTTTATATCATGCCTATTACTGTGATATCTAAGTGCTGCTGAGATTCTGCGAGATGTCTCTTTCATCAATCACTTATTTCTATGATAAGTTAATGTTACTGAGCTGAAGTCTGGGCTGTTCTGTGCAGCATCTTAATCACTGGTCCCTACTGAGCCCTGTGTGTGCAGTTATTCTGCTTATCTGGTGGCTTCACTGAACTGGTTTTGGGGATTTGAGCTCAGTTATTTGAGGGCTAAAGTTGTGCTGCAGAAATCTCTGGCTCAGATGATGATAAATTGACCTCTTTGGTCAATGAGTGGGAAGTCCAGGGCTGAGCAGATTCTGGGTGAGCATGTGAGTATATGCTTTTTATTCCCTCAGAAATGCATTCTTCATATCCAGGCTTAGATATCAGCATGAGTACAGGCCATCTGCTGCCCTAGACAACACTACCTGTCTTTTGTGGAAAAAAGGGCCCACCAGTTCCTGGGGGTCCCAGTCTGCCAGCTTTCATCTGCAGCTAAACGTGTATTTAAAAGTCAAAACAACTCCACTCCGGTCACTCAAGTAAAGCAAAAAAAAACGAAAAGAGAGAAAAAAGAAAAATAGCTGTGTACCCTGTTCTCTGGTCCAAGCAGTGCGACTCCATGGGTGGAGGGAACATTAGGGGCAAACTCTTTCTGGCTTTTTTTGCCAACTGCTTGTTTAAGGGCCCTTGGGAAGGCAAGACCGGCTGCCCAGCCACTTTATCTCCTTCTTACAAAACCTTGCCCTCACTGGGGTGCTGTGTTCACACTGCAGGGATGGATGGGGAAACTGTTGTCTGCTCTCTCTGGGTGATTTCTTCTGTCTTTCTTCTCCCTCCACAAGCCCCCAGAGTGGATTCTTCTTTCATGGCCAGATGAAGCATTTGTTTGTTTGTTTTGAAGGTGACAAGTGTTTTATGTGAATTCTAGCTGCTCTCAAATGACAAACCCCAGCTGGGCTTTGAGTTTCACAGAATAACCACTGACACCTAATGAGCCTCTAATAAGTGTTTCTCCCTCCCATCCTGTCATTTAAATAAATAAATGACAGAAATTTGGGGGTGGTGGGAGGGGTGTTGGATTGCAGTGGAAGGAAGCTTTTGTGTTTACCCACCAAGCAGGTACACTGCTTAAGAGCAGTCATGCAAGCTTCCCACACACCCACACCGCCTCTGCCATCAAGTCTCAGCCCTGGCCTGGAGGGTTTTATCTGAGGACATGCAGGAAAGTTCCTTCTAGAGCCCAGTACTTTCTTGCCCTCTCAGCTTCAGCTGCCAGCCAAGGTGCTAATTAGTGTCAACTGTGATGGGGGGAATTGAGAACAAAAGCAAGACGTTGATGGTTGAAAGCATAGTTGTTCAGTTTTTTTCTTTTGCTGGAATTTTTGCAAGGAACCGTCTGCTATTGGCAGTGGATATGTTACTCGTATCGTCTCTTCAGGGACTGGAGTTACTTCAAAATAACTCTTGTTTGTGGCAGTAGGTATGAGACAACTGAGTCCCACCCCCGTTTTCTGACCGCTGAAGATATGATTTCTGTTTGCTTAAGAAATAGAAAATGAAAATATCTCAAATTGAAATATGTCCTTATGGAAAAAAAGCATATTAAAAAAATCATAGATGCAGTTTGATTTTATTTTTCCTATGTCAGAAACACAGAGAAATTCCTTGTTCCCAGCTGTGGTAAGTAACCAAGTCATTGCGAAAGGACAAGAGCAGATATTTCAGTAAGGCCTTAGCAGGGGATAGCAAGAAATACTCTTAGCAGGCATCTCTATGTTCTTTTCATGTGAAGGCACTTCTGAAAATGAAGAACATCTCTCTCTTTAGTTGGCTGTCTCTTGGAAGAACTCACTTTTGACTGGGAATGGGCAACCGTTTTCTGGAAGGAGGAGTTATTTCTGGACAAAAGCAAGTTTGCCTGAAATGATTCTGGTTTATGATTTTCACTGCAAACAAATGAAAACAAATTTTTTTTTTTAATTAAGTTCTATATTAACTTTTTCCAGTGAAGTATTTAAAGTTATCTGTTTCAAATAGCATTTGTTTCAGCATTTGTATATATTTCTCCTATTTTTTAGCAGGAAAAAAAATATGGTGGTTAGTAGGCTGAAGTCAACATTTCAGGAGACAAAAACTCTTTTCCTGTTGTTTAGCTGAGAAAACTGAAAGGTGTCATGTCTGTTTGACCATGGTGATGGTACCCTCCTGCTCATTCACTCACTCTCCCAGAGGCTGAGACAAGCCAGACATCTTTCTTCTTCTTCACTTCCCCCCTGGTTTGAACTCACTTGCTCAAATTTTCTCCCCAGAAATGTCCTCATCTTACAAGAGCCATAAGCTTGGGTACTCCAGAGTGCTGCTCCTGCTCCAGGCCTGCAGCGCTTGTGGTTGATGCAAAGGGATGGGCCAGCTAGAGGTCCATCGTCTGTGATTTATGTCTTCACAGGTGGGGAAATGGAAGGAAAAAAAGTTGCAGATGAAGTACTATGTGTGGCCCCGCTTTGAGCTATATCCAGACTCCGAGGAGCGTGAGGACGATCACCTGAGTATCGTGACCTTGGAAGAGGCACCGTTCGTCATTGTGGAAAATGTGGACCCCCTGAGTGGCACCTGCATGAGGAACACAGTCCCTTGCCAAAAACGCATAGTGACTGAGTATGCACCCCTAGGTTTTTCTCCTCCCATTGGGCTCACCCTTATCAGCTGAATGTAGAGAGTTTATTGGGCTAAGACCATCATACCCTGATAATCCTTTTTAGAAAAGTCACCTCTGTTTTCCCAGCCTGGCCTGCGTCCATGCATGAGTGGCCCCTTTGGACAGATCATCATAGTGTGTCCCTTCACCCTTCAGCACAGATAGCACAAGTGAAATTCTCCACATTATATAATGGGAGGGGGAGAGCATACTGACAACAGAAGGGAATTAAGGGAGTTTCCCTAGTCTTTTAACCCATTATTGTTGTGATGGTTCAGGAACAAAACCGATGAGGAGCCAGATTACATGAAGAAATGTTGCAAGGGGTTCTGCATTGACATCCTCAAGAAAATCTCAAAGTCTGTCAAGTTCACCTATGACCTCTACTTGGTGACTAATGGCAAGCATGGCAAAAAGATCAATGGGACATGGAATGGAATGATTGGAGAGGTCAGCAGCAAAGGGAGGGCATGGTGGGCTTCATCCCTGGGCTGGGTGACATGGGTCAGGTCTGGTCTCCCATCATTAATGGGTCACCTTCTGGGACAGGGACAGAGGTGACTCTATAGAAATGATTGGCCTGGATTATTTCTGGACACCAGGTGAATTAATCTGATCTGACATTTTGACCATGACTACCTTTCCTGTTTGACAATTAATTATTATTCTCTATAGTGTCACAAATTTGGCCTTCACAGTCATAGAAGGAGGGTGTTATCCATGCACAACCTAGATTATACTTAGATCATATGAAAGGTGCATAAAGAATGAAATAAGACTTTGCAGTGTTAGAGGGAGGAGAAAGCAAGGACAGAAAGAAAACTGAGATAAGATGTCTTCTCGGTGGATGATGTGTTTATCCTAAGATGTCTGCGGATTTATTTTTTATACGCATACCAGCTTTGAGGGGAAGATTAATGTCTATAGATTTCCTGAAAGAGAAAGGTGTCCTGATGAAAGATTAGAAAGGAGAGATGATAGAAACAATATAGGGAATGGGATTACAGGAGTAGAAGGACTGTGTGAAAAGGCCTGAAGGGTAGAAGGGTCTTGGCTGTGGTTCTTGAGAGGTGCCTCAGGTCTCTGTGTAATCTCTTCCTTTCCTTCCTGCAGGTCGTCACCAAACGAGCCTATATGGCTGTGGGATCCCTCACCATTAATGAGGAGCGTTCAGAAGTGGTGGATTTCTCTGTGCCCTTCATTGAGACGGGAATCAGCGTCATGGTGTCACGTAGCAATGGAACTGTCTCACCTTCTGCCTTCTTAGGTATCATTTTAAGCTAAAATTAAAGCTTCACCTAGTATTCATCAAAAATTAGGTGAAGGTTGCTGGTAATTCTCAACCTGAAAATTCCTTTTTGGGAGTACCTGTGGGACGGGTATATAAAAATAAACTGTGATGTTTTAGTTCTAAATCCCAAGCAAGCAAAATCCAGGGAAATGCAAACAGGCACTGCCTAGGAGCTCCGCAGCATTTCTCAGCAATTGCATGCCTGATCTCCCAGCAAAGAATAGGCTCGCTCAGACTTGTCACCTACTCTGCAGCACCGTGGTTTTCCAGTGACTCAACTGATAGCACGTTCAAGGAGTGTAGGCCAGAAGAAAATTGATTCAAACCTTATAGCTGGCATGCCATTCTGCTTAGTGATAACAATTAGGAGTAGATTGTCGCACTTCGAGAGACTTTGTAAAGAAAGTATTAACAGAGCAACTGGTAGAAGTTGGAGATCTAATAGAATTTTTCAAGAAGAGTTGAGCCATCAGTTCTGTGCTGACACTGTATCTTCCAGTAGTTACTTCTGATGTCTTCTGGTGGTGGAGGGTGATCAGAGGATGCAGAAATAATACTGTATTTCCCCAAGACATCCATGCCTTCCTAGTGTCTACTATCTCACTTTTTAAAATGCTTTATGATGCAACAAATATGGTATATAAGATATATTATTACTGTCTGCTCTCTGCCAGTATCCTGAGAATGTTTACAAACAGAAATAACTTTATATTGATAAAGAAGTGTTTCCAAACCTCTTTAAGATGGAGTTTCATGACTTTCACTCTTCAGGAGTTTTTACCTTTAGCCAAGTCCACTGTCATTGCTGAGGTATGTAAAAGCAACAATAACGTTAACTCCAAAATTTTAAATTGCATTTTAACTGGGGTTGTGATGTTGGCTATAGTCTGGAGCAAAGTTCTAGGTTTCTTTGATCTGGTTCAGTTCCATGTTTAACTTTTCAAGAGAAGGAGAAATTCTGGCAGAGATCAAACAGTTGCAGAACATGAATGCTAAAGTTTCTAGAATGAGCCAGTGTTCCCATTGCTACAGGAATGGAACAGCTGAAAAAACTACTATCATTACTG